AAAAGTAACGTGGGCATGAAAGCTGTCTTCAAAGATGTCAAGAACCAAAGGGCAGAACCAACCACTGGTTGGGGAGAGGAGAGGAGAGGAGTCTCAAGAGTTGGGTTTCAGGTGGGTATGAAGTAGAACTTGGAAAGAATCAGAGCCTACCATTATGGCATAAACTTTCTCAAAATGTAGTAATTCCTGTTCACTGGAGTCTTCAGCAGAAGCTGGATGAAAATGAAATCGAAGTATTTTGTAGGAGGATGAACTGAATAACCTTTAGTACTTTCCAGCTCTAAGATTGTGTGATGTGCAGATGTAAATCAGCTTAGGGAACAGATACCTCTGAAAATTCCATTAGAGAATTTATTTTCTTGATAGAACCCAAATCTCTTAATGACTGCGTTCCTTGAATCAATCACTGTATATATTTTAAAGACAATGTAACGAAATGTATTTTTATTGATTATTAAATTAAAAAGGGTGGAATATTCTGTGTAAACTTCTAGTTAAGAATAAATGCTAACATGAAATTTCATCTTACTAAAATTCACTTGTCATAATGAAGAATTTTAATGTAGACTTCACCTTTGATTAATTAATTTTCTATGATTAACAATTCTTAATTAACTTTTAATAGCTAGAGAAAATAGATGAAGCATGTGCTCTTCAAAAAGATGTATTACATGAGTACCTCATTTAGTTTTATTTTTTTTAATTCAAATTTCTTTCCAATTACCACTTCTTTATACCCAGTCAAGGAAATATTTCTTACCAATGTTTGTGGGTGAAGAGAATGCAGATATGTTCATGCTTTTTTTTTTTTCCCCTTACCACCAGAAAAATTTGGAGCCCCTTCTTGTGCTTCCCAAATTCATATTTTATTTTGAATATCTAGGCAATAAGAACTTTCATCTATTTAATTTTTATTTTCACAATGTCTAGCAAAATATTTCTAATAAGTTTCTTAATTAATGCTTTGATGGTTATAATAATTATAAATACAACTAGACTTTAGATTCTGAAAGTACTGGATGACCAAATAGGTAATAGTAAACAGTTATCCTCTACTGGCTTTTATTTTTCATAACAATAATTAAAATAATATCTGCCCTTTGCACATATGTGTGGGACACAAGCTATTTCTTTGGGAAAAGAAACTCTAACGAGCATTATTAGAGTTGGACAGTTTATCGTCCCATCCAAAAATTGGGTCACCGACATCTGGCACAAGAATAAAAGTTGATTATCTCAACCTGGAACAAAAAGGAGACCAGCGTGGTTATTGTACCCTGAGTTCTGGAGTACTCATCAAACATCTAACTTATGTCATAAATTAACCTTGTTAATTTTATATTTCTCTCTTAGAAAGGAAAGGAAATAACAGACTTCTTTTTCTCATCACCACCTGCCTGTTGTAAGGACCATAATGATCTGAGTGAGCTGAGGAAGTTGTTGTTCGACACTCTGACTCAGCTCTCAGATCAGAGGCTTGCTGGGTTTTCATTTCCTAATTTGTCAAAGAAAAACTTCCTGCAAGATGAACCTGAAAACTCACAGAGATTTAGCAAACCTGAAACGGTACTTTGCTCAGATCTCATTTATTCTTCAGGATGTTACTTTAAGTAACTCTATATGTGTATGTGTATATATATATATCATCTATATATAATATATATTTATATTTGTGATCATTTTTCAACATGTATGGCAACACTAGTGTATAAAAAAAAAATTGCTGCTGAGTCAATTCCAACTCATGATGACCCTATGTGTTACAGGGTAGAACTGCTCCAGAGAGTTTTCTTGGTTGTAATCTTTATGGAAGCATATTGCCAGGCCTTTCTTCCATGGTACCACAATAATAATAACAACTATTTATTGAGTGCTAAAACTCTCTCCTGCACCCACTGAATTACTAAATTCGAGTCAGAAGAAAAACAATGTTAATAATAGCTACTGTTTACTCAACTTTAACCATGTATTGAGGGCGGTAGAATTCTTGCCTTCCATGTAGGAGACTGTTTTTGATTACAGATCAGTGCATCTCAAACATTGTCACCACCCATCTGTCAGTGGAGGCTTGTGTATTGCTATGATGCTGAACAAGTTTCAGCGGTTCTTCCAGTCTAAGAGGGGTTAGGAAGAAAGATCTGGCAATCTGCGTCTGAAAAATCAGCCAGTGAAAAACCTGTGGATGACAATGGTAAAACCATATGAATCACAACAGTCCTATCCTGTCGTGCATGCAGTTGCCATGAGTTGGGGGCTTGCTGGAAGGCAGCTAGTAACAACAACAACTACGTATCATATACTATGCCAAGCAATTCACGTGCATTATTTTATTTAAAACTCACAGCAAACCCTCTTTGGAAGGCTCTTTTACTGGGTTCATTTTACTAAGAAGGAAACCGAGATAACAGAGGTACAGATATTTTCAACAATTTTCCTGAAGTCATACATCTAGGATGTGCAAAAGTCAGAATCTGTTTTAGAATATGAAGCCTGTACTTTTAACCACTTTACTGTCTTCTCCTATTTAAAATAATCCTAATTAATGAATGCATATCTTACTTACCTCCAGGTCCCCTTTCATCCAAACCAAAAAATCCAAACTCACAGCCGTAGAGTTGATTCCAACCCACAGCGACCCTCTAGGACAGAATAGAACTGCCCCATAAGGTTTCCAAGGCTGTAAATCTTTATGAAAGCAGACTGCCACATATTTCTACCCCATGGAGCAGCTGGTGGGTTCGAACCCCTGACCTTTTGGTTGGCAGCTGAGTGCATTAACCACTATACTACCAGGGCTCCTCTCTTTCATCATGGTGCCTTTATTTTAGGAAGGAGACTAAAGGTTCACAGGTCAAACAGACATACTCTATTGGAATCCCCTTCCTGACAACCCTCACCGAGTGGTGCTTTAGGCCATGCTTGAATTCTTCTGATAAAAGGGAGCTCTCAATTTGCCTAACAAAACCAATTTTATATTATAATATCTATTATTATAGCATATATATGTACATATGTGTGTGTATATATGTCTATAATTAAACATATCTCCTTTTGTGGCTTTGCAGTCTAAGAACTCCTTTTCATGCCTACAGATGGGGAGAAACAGAGGAAAAGATCATCCAGAATATTCTATAGCCAAATTAGGAAGTACATCACTTTTGCCCACATAAACTTAGTCAGAACTCAGTCACATGATTCCACCTAAATGTAAGGGTGGCTGGGAAATGAAAGCTTTCAGTGTGTCCAGGAGGAAGACTAAATGATAGGATACACATAGTAAATAGGTTCCGCCTTTTGTTAAAATTTAAAAATTAACTATCAACATGATAACAGATTACAGGAGAAAAATCATATGGTTATCTCCATAGATATATAAAAAAGAGTTTAATAAAATATAACATTCACTCATGATAAAGTAAAACTCTTAGCAAACTAGGACTAGACAGGTACTTCCTTAAAGTAATAGTAGAAGGCCTTAAAGTGATAAAAGAGTATCTTAAAAAATAGTTATAACAGTCTTCATACTTGATGATATATTGAAAGCTTTCACTTTAATACCAAGACTAAGCTAAGAATATTTACTATCATCACTTCAGTTTACACTGCATTGGTGGGCCCTTGTCAGTACATAGTAGGATAAAGAAAAGAAAGGAAATGTTTAACGATTGAGAAAAAGGTATGTAACTGTCATTGTTTATGGACAACAAGCTTGACTGTTGTTATGTGCTGTGGAATCAATTCTAACTCATAGCGACGCTATAGCACAGAGTAGGACTGGGTTTCCAAGGCTGTAATCTTTACAGAAGCAGATTGCCAGGTTTTTTCTCCCATGGAGGCACTGGTTGGTTTGAACCACTGACATTTTGGTTATTAGCCCAGCGCTTAACAATTGCGTCACCAGGGCCCCTTCAAGCTTGACTAGAAAACCCAAAATATTTTACATTTAAGATAGTTTAGCAAGGTTGTTTTATACAAAATTAGTTTACATTTCCATATACTAGCAGTAAACAGTTTGGAAATATTTTTTTAAATGCCATTTTTTAAAAGCATCAGAATACAAAGTATATAAATAAATATACTAGATTTTATGGAACAAGTTATAATTATTATTTGTTGAAAGAGATCTTTTAAAATCTGAATTAATGGTGTGATATAACATATTTATGGATTGGAAGTCATAAAACTGTAAAGATTCTATTAATATTATAGGAAGGTTTAATATTTAGGAATGCAAATTGATTTATGGATCCAATGCACTGCCAATAAATACCCGAATAGATACTTTGAAGTGGGGTATGTCTGGAGCCCTGCTGGCGCAGTGGTTAAATGCTCGGCTGCTAACAGAAAGGTCGGCATTTCAAATCACCAGCCACTCCTTGGAAACTCTCTGGGGTAGTTCTACTCTGCCCTACAGGGTCGCTACGAGTTGGAATTGACCCAACAGCATTGGTTTTTTTTTTTTGGTTTATTGACAAACAGGTTCTAACTTTATATGGAAGTGCACAAGGTCAAGCACAGCTAAGACACTTCTAATAAAGAACAAAACAAGGAGATTTGCCTCAGTGAATATGAGGATAAAATAATTAATCTAGTGTGGCACTGACACAAGGAGAGACAAACTGAACAGAATAACAGAGCTGAAAAACGGATCCTCACATATATGAAAAGTAATTTAATGTCAAAGCTGGCATGGGAAAGCCAGTTGGAAAAGAATGGATTTTTCCGTAAACGGTTCTGGGATTATCGTTCTCTCTTTCTGCCAAATCATTCTCATCAGCAAATAAATAGACTCTATTATATCATCTTCTAAAACAAAATAAAACAAAACACAAATGCCTTGGATCCTGCATCTGTCTTTAGTTACCAACCCATTTGTCTGATCCCCTTCACATCAAAACTTTTTTTTTCCACAAGTAAGATCTTTTATTTGTCACCATTAAAAGTCTGAATTTTGAACAGATTCTTGAACTGGTAGCTCATAGCCATCTGCTCATTCATCTTTAGCCCCTGTCTCATCTCAGATGGCTTTTCCAGAACTACTACCTTCACCATGAAGCTCCATGAGTTTTCCCAGTTCAAACTTGGGCTTCTTCAGCATTTTTACTTTTCTAACGAACACATCATGGAGAGGATAAATA